GCTTCTTACTAGTTAACCCTTTCAGAGTTTCTTAAACTAACTAACTTTCCTTTTCTTCGCAGGTCTCGGGAAGGATGTCTTGATGAGACCTCCTTCTGATGACGAAGAAGTCCTCCCTCAACCACCAGCTCCAAATCTGGTTAAGGAGAAAACAAGAAAAAGGGCCTCGAGTCCGTTGGCCTAGGAAAAGAAGAGGCTGGCGAGGAAAACGTCAATGCCTTGTCTATGGAATCGGTCCATCGGTTAATGGACTAGTCCGAGGATGAGGATCAAGAAGAAGAAGATGTCGGGCTGGTGACTCGCCCGTGGGTTCCGGTACAGAAGTCCTCCGAACCGGAGGCAATCAATAAAGGGACTTTGACTGAGGTTCCCGAACCAGAAGTCACTCCATCTCCGGCGAAGACAGGAGAAATAGAGTCCCAAAGAAAGATCCCCCAAGCATCGAAAGAGGTTTCTAGGGTCGAACCTGGGGTGGTCGATATTTCGGACTCCCCCCCAGGTTTCCGATGCCATGATCCAAGAGGCCAAACTGTTAGAGGGGCAACAGGTAGATTTCCATAGCTTTTTTGACGGGCTCGAGGGTGCTACTTCCGATGAGATCCACGGTTTTAGCGATCTATCGGTCCCGAGGAAGATACCATCCCCGGGGGCGATTGGGTCTCCACCAAGCTCGAAGCTGGTAGATCAATTTCCAGCTCCAAGTGCTAATCCCAATCACAAACGGCATTTAGTATTCATCGTACTTGAGGATGCTCGGGTTTTCTTCCCCCTGGTGAGGATTGCCAGCTATCTGAGGGGCTTGATGACCGAAGAAGACCAGGTGGTGATGGATGTCGTGGGTGCTGCTTTCTTGTTCAACGAGGCCCAACATGCACTAAATAGGGTAACCTTCGGACTTTATTTCGCACTTTCTTTGTACTTGTAGATTGTTCTTAACACCTCCTTTTTTTCTTATGTAGGCTTTGATGTTGCACCATGAAGCCTTTATTAAAGTCTGATAGGAGCATAAGGCCGAGGTTTGGAGCCTTAGCGAGAAGAACGATACTTACCGACTCCTTAGTAAAAGACTCCAGGCCGATCTGGTCGCAGTTGGGGAGAAGCATACCGACATAACCGAACATGTATTCTGAATGCTCCACGATAGTGATGCTATGTTAGAGATAACAACTAATGATCCAATTCTACAGATCCGATAGAGTCTCGAGCAAATCGACCAACTCAGCAAGTAAGTGGATGACGTTCGGGCCGAGGCCGATATTTTTAAAGGGAGCATGGACATCTTAGCTGCTATGAAAGATATCGTTCATGCTTAGTTGGAGTCGGCTAAGACTCAGCTTCGAGCTGAAAAAGAGAAGAACTCGGTGCAAACTGAGAATATCAGGGAGCTCAAGTCTCATCTGGATTCGGCCACCAGCAAACTTGAAGAGGCTAAATCTGAGGTGGTCATGGCCGGCATCCAGGACGATGAAAAGGTGGCCCAGTTCAAAGTTGATGTCGAGTACATCTACCCAAAGACAGGAGCATGATCCATCACGCGAAGTGGCAAGCTCGGAGGGAGGCCCTCGAAGATGCTCAAGACTAAGATTTCAATATCATGGTCGAGGTTGTTAACGCCCGAGCAGAAGAACACCAGGCTCGGAAGTTGGCCTTCCCCAAGGATGACTCCGATGAGCAAGAAGAAGAAGATCTCGAGGACGGGGACTCTGCTTCCGACGAAGACCAAGCTCCATAGGACTTAGTATGTTTTGCTTTTTTCTTCTGTATTTACCTTTTCTTTGGGGCCATTTATAGGCCATTTGTAAAGAATTTTGATCGGGCCATGATGCCCTTGTAAATTATTTTTGACATATATATAAGAACTTTCTTCCCTTTTGTCTTATATAATTATGAAGTTGTATTCTAAGATTCGGGGTTTAAACAATTTAATTGAAACTGAACCATTATAGCCCTTAGGCTTTATGATCGAGCGAGTGTTTGATCGAACACGAAGTAAGGTAACTGTTAGGTTTTTGAGCCAGGATGGTCTCTTGAACTCAAAGTAAAAATTGCCCTTAGGCTTTGTACTTTTTGTATTAGGCCGATTTGGCCTTAGTAAAAAGATTGTTTTATGGCTTTCTCCCCTTCTCAGCTTGAAATAAGTTTTTTAACTCTGAAGCCAGTGGCTTTAGGTAATTGGCGAGTTCTACCGGCCGGGATAGCAGATGACACTCGGTAGATACCGAGAGGGAGACACTCCTCCTCTTCTTGGGATCTGCATAAGGGGGCGAATAGTTTTGCCCCAAATTTCCATGTTCTGGGGACTGGGGAGGAGGGACATCCTCCTCTCGGTGTCTGCGGCCGGTAGAGGTGATGTAGCAGTTGCTGGTGAAGAAGATATGCCTGGCATGGAAGGAGATGAAGCTGATGGTGTTGAGGGATGAGAAACAGTTGCGGCGGAGGCAGTACTGGTTGTTGGTTGCTCACTAACTGAAGACGGAAGAGGCCCGGTACTCAACCTCATAGTACCAGGAGCAGCAACTGGGATTAGAAACAGAGAATTGGCATTCTCCACCAAGTCAAACTCTCCTAGAGAGCTTGGGCTTCATCCCCCGTTGGGGTTATAAGCTATTCAGATTGAGCATTATGTTGAGCTGATGAAGGTCAGTGTCTCCTTTGTAGGGAAGCCACTTCATCACTGGCTTTCCCATCATCATCAATCACCACAGTGACTATGGTTGGCTCGAGCGCGACTTTATTCATCTTTTTATTCTTTCCCTCGGTCGAGGAAGAACGCCACCTTTTTGGTTGCTTTTTTTTCCAGCCGGGGACTCCGAGAGGAAGCACTTGCATCGGAAGCAGATCCGATGGTGCCTGTTCGGGTGAGAGCCTCCTTCAGCAACCCCTTAGACTCTAGGGGATCAGCCAAGACATCCTCCTCAGGGATGGTGACAGACTCTGCAGGAGACCTGAATTCAACAGAAGGAGAGGTTAACCAATTTTCTTATGCACAAAAATGAAATGAGGACAGAATCAGTCAACTTACCATGATTCTTGGCCTTCCATCCGTATTTGGGGGCCGTCTCCTTCAACTGGCGGGTCTCAAGCGTGGTGATGTCCAGAATCTTCTGAACCCACCAGTCCAGGCCTTCAACCTTTGGTGGTGTCCACCGAGTTGCTGAAAAAATAAGAGAAAAGAGATCAATAATGACATGAAACAACCTTTTTTCATAAAAAATACGGACTTTGAACTTACGTGTACGAGTCTAGGATTCAGGGAAAGATGGAGTTGTGGCCGGAATAATATCTTTGGTGGCAACAACGACAAACCGCTACATCCATCCGCGGTCGTTTTTGTTATCCATGCCAGTAGGAAAAGCATGGTGGCCACGTTTGCTGAAATTTATTACTTCCCCACGGAAAATCTTATTCATCATATGAGCCAAGGTGAACTCCTCCCGCGTTTCCTGGCACAACCTCGCAGACATGCCATCGTTCTCCATACCGAAGGGCCCACCTGTGCCAAACAAACTTGGTATCATTGGCACTACTCCAAAATCACGGGGTCTAGTCCCCCGCTAAAAGAAAACGCACCCAAAGTTAATGAGTACGTATAAATATACATGAAGGCCTTCTTAGTGAAGGTTACTCGCTCCACCAGTTCGGGAGCGATGATGTTTAGATCATGGCAATCACAGTCCTCCTTCACAGCAGGAATGCTGGAAGGACGGATGGAAGAAGGGTATATGCCAACAACCCAAGTGCGAAAACTTGAAGAGGGAAACTTCTCTTTGAAGTCCTTCGCTGTGTTGAGTCTTTTGGGGATGATGGTGCTAACCGTATGGGGTTAGCATCAACGTTGATTTCTTTGTCTTTGTTATCCTTCAGACCCCACCGAAGAGAAAATCGGAGCTCTTGGAAGAGTTAGTGAAAGAAACCATGATTAGCAGAAGGTGATGAGAGTTCTTTGAAGAAGAGGATTAAAGAAGAGTGAAAGCAGGAAAGAGTTGAATGCAAAGAAGTTGAGAGAATTTGTAAAACTATTAAGTGTAAAAGAAGAAGAATGAGGCATATAAGTAAAGGAATAGGCAGCTAAAATCGTGGCCATGATTACCTCGAGAACCGGCAAAAATATAGCTAAATCATAGAGTAACACGTATTCGGGGTATTAAATGCGAAGAGGCGTGCGTCTAATCAAGAGCCAGAAACGTTTCAGAAGGGTTCAGAAAATTTCCAACCAAGAAAAAGAATCTTCACCAACTTCCCGGTGACACAATGATGTGCCATCGGAAAGCAGAGGGACTATCTTTATAGGGTAAAATCGATTCACATTAAATACTCGAATAACATAATGACATGTGGAACCGGGAATAGGCGGAAGACGAAACAAATGAAAGTCGAGACCGAAGGCAACATCTTCGGTTGACATCGGGTAGACCCCGAAGGGAACATTATCAATGGGACAAATAAATATTTGCCACCGGATGACATATTCCTCAGCATTAAATACACATCCGTTACACAGAGAATTTTGACATTTATAGCCAGCCGTTGTATATTCGTCAATGGCCCTCATTATTGTCGTTTAAGTGTGGCTTTATCCTAAGATCTTATTCTCTAGGTTTAGCTATAAATAGTGACTTTAACAGCCATTGTAAGACACGAAATTTCTGACAAACTTATGCGACACATTATTCCAAGCTAAATTATACTTTACTTTCTGTCTATCAATATTCTTATTGTTGTCTTCAGAAGCCTTGCTCGTGGAACCAAAGTTGTATGACATCTTATTTCGATTTCAATGTTAAGTTTTGTATTTTATTTAATTTATTTATTATTTTGGGATCAAATAGATTCACTTATCTATAAACTATGTTATAAATTAAACTATACCGTTTTACGGGTAAACAATTCTCAAACTCAATATTCTGTTTTTATTTCTGATTCAATTTTCAACTGTACATATTTTTTTAATTTTCGCGTCAACCACATATTTGACCAAATGCCTACTAAAATCACTTTAGCTACTAGAGTACTACGCAGCAGTCACAAGACTCGTCACCGTATCATCCATTTCTTCTTCAGGAAAACTCATACCTCAGAGAGCCGTTCAATTCCAATGGCTATGGGATTTTCTAGGGTCCCCTTGCTGCGGCGTTTCCTTGTATCTCCTCCGGTACTACCTTCTTCGTACTCACTTCAGCCCAACCGTAAAATCAATATCTCAGCCTCTCTTTCTACCACCGAAGAATCTACTTCTTCCCTAATTCAGCCCACACCTTCCCGTACCCGTTGGAAGCCAACGTGTCTCTACTTTACTCAAGGTAAGTGCACCAAGGTAATAAACTCATCTTTCTCATACAGACCTCTCTTGGGCTATTCATTTGATTTCAACATTAATACTTCCTCCGGCCAATTTAGGTGACATAGTTTGACTTAGACACGGAGTTTTTAGAATATATAAAAAAAAATTAAAATTTGTTGTCTTAAACATGCACCATTACATTTATGAGGTTATAAAAATTTATCATATAAATTGAGAAGTTTAAGTTAAATTATTTTTAAATTTAGAGAGACAAAAAAGGAATAGTGTCATATAATAGGGAGTACGTTTCTTAACTTTGATCTCATCCACTTGAAAATTCGTGTAAAACTTGCTATTTTCTTTTTCAAATTGTATAGATGGATGATCCTATGCATATTGACAAGTTTAATCATAATTGCTCGCTGGAGTTTATGCAAAATGCTGCGGGACTTGAGAATTTGCGGAAGCAGGAGTTGGAATACTTTTTGGTGCTTGATTTGGAGGGTAAAGTTGAGATTCTTGAGTTTCCAGTTCTCCTCTTTGATGCTAAAACCATGGATGTGGTTGACTTGTTCCATAGGTCAGTTTCCATTATCTTAGCTTTTACATCCTCTTGATTGCAATATAATTGTCGTGATGACAGGTGTGGCCTGAAGTTTTATTGGAAGTATTGAAATATTGTGCTAAATTCAACTTTCAAGATATGCACGAGAATTTAGATATTCAGTAGCAAATATGGCTTGTGTACTCATAAGGACCTATTTTAGCTGTACCTTTTCAGAAAATAGGATGGAATAAGGTAGGTTAGTTGGATGTTACGTGGAGCGGGATAGCATCTGGATGGAGAGTAGAACTTCTCAGAATGCACACACAATCATATGATCACAGTGGATACTTCAATAATACTTTGACTAGTTAAATAGTTTAATAGAATCATAAGTAGGACTAGGCAGGTAAAGTCATAAAGATGTACTTCTCATGCTAGTAGAGCTATTAAATTTGCTTTGGGAGGATTTGTCTTGAAAACGAAAATGGCTGTATAGTCTACAGAAAATTGCTTAAGAGGGAGGATAACACTGTAAAAGAGTCGAGTTAACTTCTTACGAATTTTTGAGAGAGAATGTCACATATACTTTTCAAACCCACAACTGCAGGGTTGTGGCGAGCTCCATGTGCATTAAATTTTTTGAAGCAATTAGCTGCTTGGACAAGTCTTGGTTCTTATAGGAAGTAGCGGAAGAGACAGGAAACAAGCCATGGGCTGTTAGGGTTGTAAAAAAATTGGAGGGGAAGTTTGTTTTATCTTATTAGCATAATCTTCTCTCTAGACTGTGTTGCTGATCAATTAGTTCCATTAGTATAGTCAGTGATCCATTCTTAACCATAACAATGATGGGTGGCATAACCCTTTCCAAGAAACTAGCTCAAACCTGTAATTTATTTTCCACCTTTAACTGGTGGCTTCTTGATGTAATCTATCATATCATGTTGCTACAACATGAAGTGGAACAAGTCCATATTATTGATTATATGACGTATTAAGTGTTAGATTATTGTATTTTAACATTTTGTACTTGTGTGAAAGGCGATGTTTTGATGCTGGGAATGTAGCATTGTGTTTTATTTTTCAAGACCAATCTTTATTCTTTCTTTTTTTTTTGGTGTTGCTACAGGTTTGTGAGGCCAACAAAAATGCACGAAGAAAGAATAAACGAATATATAGAAGGGAAATATGGAAAACTAGGAGTTGATCGGTATGGTATCTAATTCAGTAGTTCGAAATACAATTCAGCAGTTGGAACTTAGTGCCTTTTGCTTCTATATGAAGAATTGCAATGTAGTTGTTTCACATGTTAAACTAGAAACATGCAACTTTATGCCTTCATTTCTTCAAGAAAAGCATTGTTTTCTTTCTTCTTTCCTTATGTAACTGAAGATCTTCCATGATAGTTTTTTCTTCGTTAAGTGAAGCTATGGCAATCAGTGTCAGTATATGATTCTCTTTCTTGGTATTAAAAAAATATTATCTAATTTCCATGGATTCTAATAGGGGAATCCTCGTGGCTTCTCATGAACCCCTATTGTTTTCTCATGAAGTCCTGAAGTCATGTCTCTTATGGGTCTCAATTATGCGGGAAGAGTCCACTATTGACCTTGCTTTACCTTTTTCAAAGTCTTCATCATCTTGCCTTCTTTTCACGAGTATAATAATGAGTTCTTTGTGGGTAGCTCCAGAATGGTAGCTTTTCATCATGGCATCAAGGTCACAGGTTCAGATATGGAAGCAGCATGTATGCTTAGGGTAGTTGTGGGCAAATTACTCTCCTATACCCTGTAATGTTTCAATTCTTATAAGCTAGGTTACCTGCTTGATATGATTGTTTCACGAGAAAAACTGGAACTGAGGAGTGCAGCTATAGGAGACATACTTGCAAGATCCAAATCTGTTGTTAAATCTTCAAAAGATGAAAATAGATTTCTATATTTGAATGTTTTTAGTGGAGGACAATGGTGAGGACTCCGTGGGCAGATAAAAATTGGATCACTAGATGCTTAATTGCTGATAGAAATTATTGCCAATTGATCCTCGTTAACCATGGAAGCATGCACCATTTTTGCAACAATTGCTAATTCCTGGATCTGACGCTTAATGTTGTCCATTTGTATGTACGACAATTCATGCAGCGTCTGGCATGATACAGCTATACCATTTGCGGAAGTTATCGAGCAGTTTGAAGTCTGGCTAGGTCAATGTCAGTTGTGGAGAAATGAACTTGGTGGCTGTCTTAATAAGGCTGCCTTTGTTACTTGGTAAGTTGTTACTATGTAAGGCTGAATAATAAAGGCTACTGGGTAAACTAAAAATATCAGTTTTATGGTTAAACATTGTTATTTGATACTATAGTTAAGAAAATGGAAATTTAAATGTGTGGGAGAAGTCATTTGGGTTTGCTGTGTGCTATATGGATGACTTGCTGATGCTCATGATCCAAAAAGGTGCTACAGCTACTTTCTTGTGGTGCATTTGTCACTAACCAGATATTACGTGCTTTTAGCTGTAGCCCATGTTAGAGCTTGCCTGTTTTATCATGACTATCTTCATTGCTACTGCACAACTTGCGGTCGACGAATTAGTTTCAAGGGTATATCATGATTTGGGGGCTTAACTGCTTATTGTTGAGAATAATATGTATGCTAGAATAAGTTGCTTAAACCTATCACATTCATATTTGAGTATTTTAAAATATTAAGTTATTTTTATCCCATGTGGGGAGGAGATAGGACATGTTTTGGTATGATTTTGCATTGTAGATTATAATTAAAAAAAATAAGACCAAGAACCTAATGTACACACTGAGTGTAAATATGTAGGAATCAACAGAGCGAGCAGTGGGAACTGGGATATGAGTGACTGAATTCAATTTGTGTATGTAGTGGGAACTGGGATCTGAAGACTAAAGTTCCTCAGCAATGCAATGTAGCAGGGATGAAATTGCCACCATATTTCATGGAATGGATTAATCTGAAGGATGTGTTTTTGAACTTCTACAAGAGGAGGGTGAGTATGCAAACTTTTAACAATGCCATTCTCTCATATTGATTTAGGAAATTTAGGTTTTCTCAACTTCTCTATTCCATTCCTCTTCCTTTTTTTTATATACTTTTGGAAGAATTAACCGAAGTATGGTTTTACTTCATTTCGGGTAGGCCAAAGGAATGCTTTCAATGATGAGGGAACTCCAGATGCCTTTGTTAGGGAGCCATCACCTTGGAATAGATGATGCAAAAAACATAGCTAGAGTACTACAACACATGCTAAGTGATGGTGCCCTTGTGCAAATCACAGCTAGAAGAAACCCTCATGTTCCTGAAAAAGTTGAATTTCTTTTTGAGGATCGCATTGTATAACTGGTTTCTGCTGAACCATTTTGTTATCACCTAAACATTTTTAGATGACCTTCCTCTTAATTTGTTCAAGTTTCAGTTGAGGTCTCTTGTATTCACCAAAGCATCATACCCATCCATGCACTCCAACCCCTGCGAGAACGGAAAAGCAAAAAAGAAGAAAGTTAGGAAGAAGGTAAAAGAAAAACCTATTGGTGGGACTTGCAACAGTGACTGTACATTAATATCATTTCCTTTCAATTGATAGACTATGCACTAAGTTGGTGGAGTTTTACCATGAAAATCATCAACATTTCTTGGTTGGTTGGGCTGGTTTTTTGGATTTGATCTAATTTGATAGTAGGCTACTATTGGTAGTTTTTTTTTCTTTCTACTGGGAAGAACAGCCTGACAATAAGTTCTAATTTGAGCTGGAGACTCGGCAGTTTTCCTTTTAATCCAAGACTTCCTTTGAGTTGCAGTGAAGTACTCTCAACAGGGAAATTTCCTATCCTTTTTGATGTACTATTTCTATGACCACCAGACGGTGTGCTCAGGGAAAATGGATCCTTGAGGAGGTTAGTGTCTCCTTTTCTTTGCAAGTGGAGCTAGAATCATCTTGGAGTATATCCGATTGTGTCAATTTGCTTTTTCCCCCTCACTTTTATTTTTTTATTTATCCATTGGTCACGTTCTTAAGTCACATTTGTAAACATGTTCCTTTTTCTCCGACAAGGGTTTTTGGTATCAATAGGTTTCCAATATTTAACTTGCTATCACGGGTATGATTGTATAAGCTTTTAATATTGTCGACCACAATAAATAAATAGAAAGAGCTTTAATGTCATGACTTGTTAGTGAGATTGAGTTTAGGTTCCAAAGTATGTAAACTATGCGAGTCTAGTCTTTCAACTTACAAGAAGTATATGGACACAATTAAACCTTCTACACGCCGTGGAAAACCTGGCAGGCCAACCCACCAATACGATCCAATAGCTCTATACCATGACTCACATACGTTCCATCTCATTCCCTGATAACTTACCAACCACCACTTTAATTCCTTTTTTTCTATGGCACTTATGGTTGATGCGTAACAATAATACATTCAACACCCTCTCCCAACAGGTTGACTACCATCATGTAACGACCCGATCAGTTGTTTTGAGAATTAGCATCCCGTTCGGCAGCTTAAGATCTCGAGCAGCTTCGTATTATGTGTTATGAATTGCGTGTGTGGCCGAGTTTGGATTTCGGATGATTTGGGATCAATTTGGAAGAAGGATTCTTGTTTTAGAAGCTTAAGCGGTAACAGTTGACAGGAGTTTGACTTTTGTGTAGACGACTCCGAAATGATGTTTTGTTGATTCAAATAGCTTTGTATGATGATTTTGGACTTATGCGTGCGTCCGGATTTGGATTTGGAGGTCCGTACGATAATTTAAAGCATTTTGGCGAAAATTGGAAAGTTCAAGTTTTGGAAGGTTGAGAGGTTTGACCGGAAGTTGACTTGGTTGATATCGAGCTCGGATTGCGATTCCGAGAGTTGGATTAGCTCCGTTATGTCATTTGGGACTTGCATGCAAAATTCGACGTCATTCCTGGTTGATTTGATATGTTTCGGCACGAGTTTTGGAAGTTGGAAGATTTGAAGGTTCATAAGTTCGATTCGAGGTGCGATTCGTAGTTTCGACATTGTTTGATGTAATTTGAGGCCTCGAGTAGGTAAGCATTATGTTATGAAACTTGTTGGTATGCTTGGACAGGGTCACGGGGGCCCCGGGTGTATTTCGGACGAGCTTCGGATTATTTTCATGCTTGGGGCAGGTCTGGTTCTGGTGCTTCGCACCTGCGACATTTTGGAGCGCAGGTGCGGCTCCGCTGCTGCGATGATTGAGGCATGGGAGGAAGCTTCGCTTCTGCGGTGTTTTGCACGCAGGTGTGATGGCCGCTTTTGCGGTCTAGTGATCGCATATGCGAAGCTGTTCGCTGCTGTGACTCGTTTGCTGCTTCTACATTGTTACGACTGTGTTTTCCGCTGATGCGGATCCTGGCCTGGTAAGTTAAGTTCACAGATGCAAACTTTTCTCGCCAATGCAAGGCCGCAGATGCGGCGTTTCTGTTCGCAAATGCAAAAATGCTGGGCAGAAAGGTTATATTCGAGGGTTTGCCATTTTTACCATATTTTGAGCTGTAAACCTCAGATCTGAGCAATTTTTGAGGGGTTCTTCACATGTTCGATTGGAGTAAGTGTTCTATATCCGAAATTGATTACATATCATGATTTCATTCTTATTTATATCATTAAATTAGTGAATTGAAGGGAAGAAGATGGGAAATTTTGTAAAAATCTTTCAAAATGTAAAATGAGGATTTGAAGGGCGATTCAATGTGGGAAATTGGTAATTTTGGTATCGTTGAACTCGTATCGAATGTGTGTTCGGATTTTGTAAATTTTGTCGGGTTCCGAGGTGCGGGCTCGGGGTTGACTTTTTAATTTTTGTTAAAGATGAAGCTTTATTATCCGGAATTATTTCTTATGAGTTTTATTTATGATTTGAAGTTATTTTGGCTAGATTTGAGCCGTTCGGAGGTTATTACGCTCGAGAAGGTCATTTTAGAGTATCAGTCTAGCTTCTTTGAGGTAAGTCACTTGCCTAACCTTGTGTGGGGGAACTACCCCTTAGGATTGAGTCATTTGTGCTAATTAGGTCATGTGAAGTCCGTGTACGCGAGATGACGAGTACGTACTCGGGCTTATTTGTGGAAAATTTGACCGTTTAGGGATCTTAGGTTCTTATGTTCATTAGATATGAAGTTGTTTTATCATGTTAAATCCTCCATTTACTAAATTCACCCTTACATGTCGTATCTGGAAATTGATTCATGTTCTACCCTTGTTGCCAATTAAACTCTTATGTGCCTTGATTGAAGTTGTTGCCTTTTTTACTGCCATGCTGTCTTTTCTGTAATTGCTTAACCTTAATTAAAGTTATGTTGTCTTTTCTGTAATTGCTTAACCTTAATTGAAGTTATGTTGTCTTTTCTGCAATTGCTTAACCTTAATTGAAGTTATGTTGTCTTTTCTGTAATTGCTTAACCTTAATTGAAGTTATGTTGTCTTTTCTGTAATTGCTTAACCTTAATTGAAGTTATCGTCGTCCTTTCTGTGGCTTAAGGTCTCAAGAAGATTCATATTATGTGTTATGGCTTGCCTGTGTGGTCGAGTTCGGATATCGGATGATTTGGGATCAATTTGGAAGAAGGATTCTTGTTTTAGAAGTTTAAACAGTAAGAGTTGACCGGAGTTTGACTTTTATGTTGACGACTCCAAAATGGCATTTTGATGATTCAAATAGCTTCGTATGATAATTTTGGACTTAAGCGTGCGTTCGGATTAGGAGGTCCGTAGGATAATTTGAAGCATTTTGGCGAAAATTGGAAAGTTGAAGTTTTGGAAGGTTGAGAGGTTGCACCGTGAGTTGACTTGGTTGATATCGGGCTCAGATTGAAATTCTGAGAGTTTGATGAGCTAAAATGTGTCATTTGGGACTTTCATGAAAATTCGACATCATTCCGGGTTGATTTGATATGCTTCGGCACGAGTTTTGGAAGTTGGAAGATTTGAAGGTTCATAAGTTTGATTCGAGGTGCAATTCATAGTTTCGACATTGTTTGGTATGATTTGAGGCCTCGAGTAGGTCCGCGTTATGTTATGGAACTTGTTGGTATGCTTGGACGGGGTCACGGGGGACCCCGATGTGTTTTGGACGAGTTTTGGATCATTTTCATGCTTCGGGTAGGTCTAGTTCTAGTGCTTCGCACCTTCGACATTCTGGAGAGCAGGTGCGGCTCCGCTTCTGCGTGAGTCTGGTCTCTTATGCGATGATTGAGGCCTGGGAGGAAGCTTCGCTTCTGCGGAGTATTACACACATATGTAATGGCCGCTTTTGCGGCCTAGTGATTGCATATGCAAAGCTGTTCGCTTCTGCGGCTCGTTTGGCGCGTTTGTGCTGTCTCTGGTATGACTGTGTTTTCCCCAGATGCGAATCTGGGCATGGTAAGTTGTGTTCACAGATGCTGCGTTTCTGTTCCCAAATGCGAAAATGCTGGGCAGAAAGGTTATATTCGAGTGTTTGCCATTTTTACCATATTTTGAGTTGTAAACCTCGAATTTGTGCGATTTTTGAGGGGTTCTTCATATGTTCGATTGGGGTAAGTGTTCTATATCTGAAATTGATTACATTTCATGATTTCATATTTATTTATATCATTAAATTAGTGAATTGAAGGGAAGAAAATGGGAAATATTGTAAAAATCTTTCAAAATGTAAAATGAGGATTTGAAGGGCGACTAGATGTCAGAAATTGGTAATTTTGGGATGGTTGAACTCGTATCAAATGGGTGTTTGGATTTTGTAAATTTTGTCGGGTTTTGAGGTGCGAGCCTGGGGTTGACTTTTTAGTTTTTGTTAAAGATTGAAGCTTTATTATTAGGAATTGTTTCCTACGAGTTTTATTTATGATTTGAAGTTATTTTGGCTAGATTTGAGCCGTCCGGAGGTTGTTTTGCTCGAGAAGGTCATTTTAGAGTATCGTCTAGCTGTTTTGATATAAGTGACTTGCCTAACCTTGTGTAGGGGAACTACCCCTTAGGATTGAGTCATTTGTGCTAATTGGGTCATGTGAAGGCCGTGTACGCGAGGTGACGAGTACGTACTCGAGCTTATTTGTGGAAACTTTGACCGTTTAGGGATCTTAGGTTCTTATGTTTATTAGATATGAAGTTGTTTTATCATGTTAAATCCTCCATGTTCTACGTGTCTTATTTGGAATTAATTGATTCATGTTCTACCCTTATTGCCAATTAAACTCTTAAGTGCCTTGATTGAAGTTGTTGCCTCTTTTACTGCTATGTTGTCTTTTCTGTAATTGCTTAACCTAAATTGAAGTTATGTTGTCTTTTCTGTAATTGCTTAACCTTAATTGAAGTCTTTTCTGTAATTGCTTAACCTAAATTGAAGTTATGTTGTCTTTTCTGTAATTGCTTAACCTTAATTGAAGTCTTTTCTGTAATTGCTTAATCTTAATAGAAGTTATCGTCGTCCTTTCCGTAATTTGCTTAACCTTAATTGAAGTTTTGTTATCCCTTTCACTGTTGACTTATCCTTATTTGGAATCATTGATTCATGCTATCTCTCTTATCTTCGAGTTGTACCTACATGGAATCACTGTTGCACATTATCTCTNTTGTTGTTGTTGTTGTTGTCGTTGTTGTTGTTGTCGTTGTTGTTGTTGTCGTTGTTGTTGTTGTTGTCGTTGTTGTTGTTGTCGTTGTTGTTGTTGTCGTCGT